CCCCCCCCCCCCCCCCCCCCCAAAAAAAAAAAAAACAAAAAAACAAAAAAACCACTAAAATATTAAAAAAAATGTATATGCCATTACGTTTCTGAATGCTTGGAGGAACATTCTTCAAATAGTAAGGGATATAATGCTTTTCACACTTCATCCCATTCCAAAACCTCCTTCCTCTCTTAAAAAATAAAAACGCTTTTACAGACTTACTGTTAAGAGTTACCCCTGGCAAAAAAGCACCAAGCCCTCTTCCTACCATAAATCTAAAATTTCCCAATTACCTTTTTTGTTCTTCATTAGTCCACTGAGCTCCAAAATCTGACTGTCTTTCAATCCCCAATACTTTTTGTCGCTCAATAGACTACTGAGCTCCAAATAACATTGATTCATTCTGAGAGTTAAACAGGAGGTGAAGGCCCATCCTCAGTGGCCTAATGCAGATGAATATTGGGATAATAGCTTACAGAATCAAGTTGACAATTAGAGTTTGGAGGAAGGCAGGGTCTTACTTATTGATTGATTGGATAATTGTTACATAGAGACTAGGGAATTTTACCACTGAGGGGAGAGAAATATAGATTTCATTGAATTTAGCTGATGCATAAGTCGGTTTTATTTAAAGAAAGAGGTAAGAGAGAAGAGAAGCCGAGGAAGAGGAAGAACAACGGGGATAAGCGATATCTCCCCATTGAGTTTTAAACCTTGATTAGTCCTTAAACACAGTGGCCAGTGAGAGAACGTATTTTGAAACAAAATGCACTGCACAAAACTCATAACGATGGACCCCACATTATGGGAGATTTTTACAAATTTCTAAGTTGCAACGGACTTGTATCCAAACATGAATTTTAACAGAAACAAGCAAAACCCAAATATCTATCTCTATATAAATGTGTGTATACGTATGTGTATTGTGTGCATATATGTGCATGTTCTTTGTGAACATAAAGTAATAATTACCTCTCATGGGTTGGTTGCACTGCCCATATGGACTGCTTGAGCTTCTTCCATACGGACTACTTGAACTTCTCCTAACAGTCCTACGATCATTATCAGGCGATCGACTCAAGAATTCTGTGCGTCTGCTACCTGCTGCAGATACTTGCCTTCTTCTTGGTTGCCACAAGTTAGATGCTTGCCGTCCTCTTGGTTGCCACAGCTCATTCTTCGAATGCTTGACTTGACTAAATTTCACACATGCAGAAACAGAGAGAGAAAGGAGATGAGATATTCAGTTTCCAACACAATGCACGTATTTAGCATATGTATGAAAAACTTACGATCTTGCTCGACCCCACAATTTCTTTGAAATAAAGAAAATACACCAATAAATACCCAATGCAATCACTGGCAACAGAATATCCGGAGAGCTCTGCAAAATGTAGAACTCGGTAAATAAAAAGGTTTTTTGTGAAGCACAATAAAGAGTACTAACACCGACAACTCATAAAAAATAATGCTGCATACCTGAAGAACAGTAACAACACCAAAAACACGCATTGCCCACTTCACGAATTGGGCGATGCCAGCATCTATGCTGCCATCTTCTGAAATGACATATTTTCTCACTATCCAGTACCCTAAAGCAGCTCCCGCTAGAATTATCAGTACCAGCAGCATGACTGAAACCTGTCAATTAGATTGAAAAAGAGAAAGTGTGAGCGCTTATTGGGTAAATACATATTATGTGTTTTAGTAAATAGCTAAGTAACATGCGAAGCAAGTATTAACATGTCAGCTAATGATGCCAAAAAATTATTTCGTAATAACAATACTAGTTACCGAAAGAATTTATCCATAATTTCCATAATTTCCTTAAATCAAGAGTTATCTAATGCACAGAAGTGCTACAAGTTCCATTCATCTAGAAAGACAAGTAACTCATTTATTATCTGCTATCCAGATAAAAATGATGGAGGTATCTCATCAAATTGCATCATTTTTTATATTTTCACTACCTCAACAAAGCTAACGGTCTTCAGCGGTAAAAATAGGCAACTGAAAAAACCAGATAAGATTGACAGGCATCACCCTGCTCTGCCTTTTTCACCAAAACTGAAAACCAGCATACATACCAGTCTGCTGCATCTTGGGTATGTGTACACCTTCTACAGCATTGTGCAGAAGACTAGAGCATAAACCAAAACCCAAACTAGATAAACATGAGTCGCAATTAAATTTTGGTTGTGGATCTTCTACTGCCACAAACTGGGTTGCCGACACAAGCACCAATTAAATACAAAACACCACAAATTTTATGTTCATAAAAGGATTTCCGTAAAAAAACCTCACTCAATGGTATGGTGTCATTAACAGGAAATTCCTCAGAGATCACAACCTCACCAAATTCCCAAACTATTATCGGAAGTGATTACATATAGAATGAGTGATACGGATCCCAAAAGTTCAAAATGATGTCTTGTTTCATCAACACATACACATAGGGTAGGTCTTCATTCTTTTCAAGGAACAAAGCTAGAGTATTGTTCCCACTTGAAATGGGACCTAATGCCCCCTGTATGCACCTTTCTAGCTGTGAAAGAGCCTAGGAAACATCCTTGTAAGAAAAAAAAACCTGGGAAAAGAAGGTGCTTGTAGGTAGTGCAGGTATGTGGTGCCATCCATAAGAACTGTAGAACCTGATCATCATCACTGCCAAAATGCTTTCCTTTCTTTGCCAAAATAGCACGGGTATATAATAGAAAGCACGGGGTTATTTTAAAAAAATAGGACCGTTTTTTAAAGTAGACATCGACAGTGATAATCACTGTTAATTTACTTTTCAGGCCAGTTATTATAGATCCGGGGACATCATTCAAGCTATTATGAAAACTGAAATTTTCCGATGGAACCATGGAATCCTATATATAGTTTATAGAAAGGCAAAATCAAGATACGTTCTTTAGTGTCTTAACCATATAAATTATGCTCTTGCTCCGACATACTGCTGAAACTGGTCATGTTGACCATCTGCTTGTCATGCTATATCGAACACAGCATACCATAATGCCACTTCTTTTTCTTATGTGAACACAGCAAAAGCTTTAGAAACTGGAAAAGCAAGAGCTTTAAAACTAGCCTCAAATAAACACATCAGTGAACTACAGCTATAGAGATTCGTACTCCATAGTAAAAGACATCCAGAAAACAACCTATTACTAAAATATATAATATACAAAAACCCACAAGATGTCGGATAGGACTATCCAGCTCTCTGATCACCTAACTTCCCCTATCTGTCAGAGGTAGAAAAAGTTCAGCTCTATGTAGGCTAGCTCACTATAAGAGAAGTCTGTAAATGTATGAGTAGCCCAAAGGACTGTATTCATCAAGTGGATAATAGCACTAGCACGGTGCATTTTTCATGAGGGTTCTCAACATCATTGTTTTAAATATCTCCGACATGACCCGCTATATCCCCCAATACATCCTTTTATAGGGCTTGCTGCAACCAATATAGTCCCTAAATATCATTTCACTTTTTAGTTATTTTGGGTGATATATCCCCGATATGGCCGATATATTAGTTGATATATTAACTAATATATCCTTTTATATGGCTTGTCGCAAAATAATATACCGTGTCTCGCAATTTTTGGGCGAGAGATTATGATTTTTCTATCATATCAAACTACATTTTGGCCTAAAAAATCAGAACAAAATGTACTTTTTATTTGTACTTTCGATAGTTTTACAAGGTTGACTAGTGATCCTAAACCTACATTATTTACATTTTGTTGCCCTGATTTTATTAAGAATGTTGAGATTATATTTTAATGCATTATACTATATATGCAAACATCCGTTATTCGAATATTTACCACATATCCCCGATATTTGCTCGATATCCGCAATCCGATATGAATTTTAGCCATTTGCTATTTCTCCGATAACCCGATATTTAAAACCTTGCTCAATATTCTAAATGACCGTTCTACGTAAGTGGCCCAGCAAGTAGTAATTGCTCCTAGTCCAATTACACCATGAAGCTACAATTAGACAGCATGGATGTGAATACAAGACATAATACAACACAACATGGACACAACACCACCACAAATAATGAAAAAGTAAAAATTATAGAGTAGCAAATGCATGCACATTTGCAGGCCTTTGTTTCAGCTAGGAGCAAAAACTGAACAAATGAGATAAGGTTAGGTTTTGGGTCCAATAGCTGGACCAGACCGATTCTATTGGATTTTTAAATCCAAATTAAGTTTGGAATTTTTTTTTCTTTTCTCGAGTAAAAAAGGTTCAGGCCTTATGTTGGAACTAAATTTAGATCAATCTTACAACATTTGGCTTGTATCTGTCAGATGCAATGCAATGTACTTGGATTTAACTGGACTAGATGTAAGGATCACAGATTTAGGTATGATTAATATTTCAGTTTAGCTTCTATGTTAATATTTAAAGGCTGTATGCATAATCAATGTTTAAATGTGGGGCAACGCATTGGATTTCATG